GAAGCGACATGTATCGGACGTTTGATTGTTAGTACCATAGATTTCGTTCTTAGAGAGGTTGTTAGATTGTTTGTATTGTAACACAGTTGGAGTTTATCTTCTGTTTCGGATACCATTATTTCATCGTTTCTGAATAGTTGGGCTCCGAGTTAAATATGTCTATCGAATTGTAGCCCACGGTGTTCTAGTTCTACCAATTTTCATATTTTACGGACGTTGTTAATATATATAAAGGGGTAGGAAAAAGTTTGCAGGCCTTGTCTCACATCTTGTTTAATTTCGATTTCCTTTTTCCCCTTCTCACTAGTGTTTACCACTATTTATATTTGGTAGTGAAGAGTTCTATTGCGTTTGTTGTCAACAGTTTGGTTTAGTCGATAAAAACTATTTCAGGATTAAATTCTATACGTTTTTCTATAAGTATTTTGAATATGAATATCTTATGGGTACTTCATAAGCGATCCTTTTTGGTGGAAAACATGTTGCTGTTTCATTTTAAACAACACTAAAATGGTGGAGACAGTAAGACATGTCGATAAAATAATATCCATAACTTTTTACTTTGTATTGTATTTGCAAACAAGATTTATATAAGTTTGTTGCACTTCAGTGTGTTTATGACATCTTACTGAGAATATTTTCGTTTATGTTATGTTACTAAAATCAAAACTCCAAAGTATACTTGACATCAAACTATATTCACGTATAAACGGGGCAAAACCCCAGTTTTGCAACCGCTTTACGTTCGCATGTAATGCTTGATTTTGTCATTGACAAGGTTCAAAGTTCAATATGTTACCGAGAAATTCGTCTAAAATATTTTATTTTATATTGATTTGAACAGTGTCATTAATGTTTGAAAATTAAAGTCTGTCTCCAATAGTATCTATAGATAATTAGAAACCAAGTAATTTCAAACCAAACTTTGGATATTTTGTAAAACAATTTGCTTTTTTTTATAAGAGGAGATATTTTTAATATTTTCGAGTAGTGTTTCATCCCGTACATGATTAGTAGTAGTAGTAGGTTTAGCTATACTTTAAAAAAATATCACGTATTAATTTTTGAACAGGTCTATAAAAAATCCTAATGAACCAACTTGATTATGTTAATTTCTAAGCACTCTATTTTAAACTTCTTCTTTTTATATTCATTTGAAACCTATATTTGCAAATATTTTTTTTCGGAAAATCATTCTAGTTAGGTTAGCCACAAAAGAAATAAACCAAAAAAAAAAAAAATAAAAACTGCAGCGCTGTATGACTGTCTTTCGTATTATTCAGAGATAATGTTTATGACGTTTGAAGAAATACCATATTCTGTTCTGTTTCTATAATCAAATTCTCACTTAAAGTTCGGTACGACCAAGATAGGCCATTGATAAACGTACAGGGTTGTTGGCAATAACGTCGCACAGTGCAAGTTTAGATAAAATGCATCTTCCGGCAGAACGAGTATAATATTTTATTTTATGTATACAGTAGATTAAAAAAGCTTTGTAAAAGTTGTAATAATTAAACACTCCACGGAATGTGTAAATAGTTTGGAAAGTACTAACTTCGTTTCGAATGTTTTGTACTTGAAGTAGCAGAAAAAAAGCTGAAATAGGAACGTCTAAACCGTTTAGATTTCACAACTGTCGAAAATATAGACCACTATATTTTCGACACAGAAAATATGGCCACTTTTCAAACGTTAATAATTAAAAAATAATTGAACTTAGATATAGGATATGATACACAAAACCTATCGTTTTGTGTATCATATCCTACACAAAACCTAAATATATGGGATTAAAAATAAACGCACAGAAAACCAAGTATATGTATTGTACTAGATCAGACAACCAGATACCTAGACTATTAATTGATGATCTAGAACTGGAAGGTGTGGACACCTTCCTCTACCTGGGATCGCTGCTGACTAAAGACAATAATGTCCGCGATGAAATTAAAAAAAGAATAGTGCTTGCCAATAAGCAAGGCCAAGCAAAGCAAATTACCATATATAAAACACTAAAAAGGCCAGTGTTAACATAAGGGTCAGAAACGTGGTCACTTATACAGAACGACCAAGAACTGCTTAAACGTTTCGAGAGAAAAATTCTAAGGAAAATATATGGAGGAGTCCAAGAACAGGGAATGTAGCGTAGGCGCTACAACTTTGAGTTATACAGAAGTTTTGGGGAACCTGACGTTGTAAAATGTATTAAATTAGCACGCCTTCGATGGATAGGACATGTAATTAGGCGAAATGAAGATGCAACGATCAAAAAAATTTTCGACCGAAGAGGACCAGTGGGAAGACGATCCAGAGGAAGACCAAAACTTAGGTATCAAGATAACATAGAGAATGATCTAAAATCCTCGGAGTTAAAGCATGAGGAAGAGTTTCCAGAGACAGGGGCGAATGGATGTTGTTCTGAAGAAGGCTTTGGATCATGACGAGCTGTAATGCCACTGATGATGACACAAAACCTATTGATTATCATCAGTTGGCGCTGAGCTCTGACCTGCATAAAAACATTCTTCCATCTCTCCCTGTCGAGTGTCTGTCTTCTCCATCTCCTTACTCCAATTTCCCTTAAATCGTCCAGATACCTGAGTGTAGGTCGCCTCCTTTTTCTTCTGTCGATCGGCCAATTTAGCATCGTTATTTTAGAAGGATCATTTTTATCCATCTGCATAACGTGGTTCATCCATCTTAGGCGGTTTATTTTGATGGTATTCTTTACGTTATCTGCATCACCAAAGAGTCTATAGAGTTCGAAATTATATCGACTTCTTCACAGATTCTGTTCTTTAACTTCGCCACATATGGCCCTCAATACTTTTCTTTCAAAGATTCGTAATAACTCTTTATCTAAGTCACTATTGCTCATGTTTTCGATCCATAAGAGAGTCCTGGGCATATTATTGTTTTATTAAGTTTGGACTTTGTTGATTTTAACATAATATTTCTCACTCGTTAAGGGGCCTAAGCCAAAATAACAGAGGTTAGCCCACGTATATTCTTTTTCTTGTTTCTTTTTGAAGTTATACTTCTATACGCGCGGTCGACGTTGGAAATTTGCACGGGAGCGAATCTGTGAATCCATTACATATGTAAGATATGAGTAAGTGAGAGACAGAAGGTATATTTTCTCTCTCTTTCTCTATCGAGAATAAAAATGTCCCTTTTGTATATATATTTAATATTATATATATATATATATATATATATATATATATATATATATATATATATGTATATATATATATATATATATATATATATATATTATATATATATAATAATAATATTATTCATAATTATTAGGCTTTTGTATTTCAAAATAATAAACAATAAATCACTGTTTGGCCGAGAGCTGTCAATTTTGAAATCCGTTAGTGTCATGTCTAATTGGCAAATTTAATATACGCAAAAATGCTAAATTTTAAAATAAGATGAAAATTTACAATATAAACCGAGTTGTTGGTTTTTTATTTTTATCTTCCACAAAAATTTTTTCAAGTTATACTTCTATACGCGCGGTTGACGTTGGAAATTTGTGTGTATTCGTATATATTGAGTGAATCGGCAAAATCATTACATATGTAAACTATAGGTAAGAGAGAGACACAAGATATATTTTCTCTCTCTTTCTCTCTCGAGAATAAAAATGTTTCTTTTGTAAATATATTTAATATTTATGACAATTATTATTATTTTTTATTAATATTATTATCATGGTAAATTAAACATATGCATAACTAAGTTATGTATATTGTCATCTTTAAATACTTAATGAATATTGCATTTTAATTTGTATTGTATTATTTATTATATTGGATTATGTTGCAGTGTATTGTATTGTATTTTTATATTAATACCAAAATAAACAATGAATTTTACTGCAGAGTATGTGTTAAAAAATTTTTTTGCCTTTAACTCTTTTTATACATGTATGAAAATAACAATATATATTTCCATTAAAATATTGAATCAATTCTTCATTTACTCTACTCCTATTACAGGTCAAATGTTTATATACAGCAAACGATGCACTATATACCTAATTATTTTTCTCTTTTAGTTCTCTCTTACCTATAGCATTACATATGTAATGATTATGCAGATTGACTCCCATAAAAATTTGTAATAACGAACGCGTGTATAGAAGTATTACTTCTACCGGCAGACCCACTGGACTTCCGTTTTATGTGTTGTTTTTGCAGTCAACCAGTGTACTCAGTAACAGAACTTTTCCACCGTTTCTATAGTTTCATGTTACATCTCGAATTTATTTTGTTGCATTCTTGATGTTGTCGACAAATATTTTTAGTTTTATGGGTGTTATTAAATCTATTTATATATATATATATATATATATATATATATATATATATATATATATATATATATATTAAATGTATTTTACTGAAAGTTTTCGTAATTTCTTTATACGAAATTTATTGTAAATAAAACCATTCGGAAACTCATAACCCAAGACCTCCATTTTAAAGTTAAAGAAAATTTACAAACAAGAGTTTTAAATTGTAACAATAAATTATCACGAGTGTAAATATTTATAAAAGTCAGATGTTAATCTATTTAATTTTTAAATTATGGCATCGAGTGACGCCACTGTAAATTAATGAAAAGCATTTGAAATGTGGTATTATTAAAGTGTGGTTTAAATTTTTTCTAAATGTAATGCAGTCAATCAGATAATTACTATGAAATTGTTAGTACGAGAAATTCAAAATTACTAGAAGAAATCATTTCGGTTTTTTTAGTACCCTTTTTAAGCATCATTTTAATTTTGTGTAACTTTTTGAGCTTTTCATTGGCAGCTACGATCTGAACAATCTAAATCTAAGCTGATTCCCTAAAAATTAATCAAAGAAGCAGCATGCACATTTTATGAGTGGACGAATCTTACAGTAAAATCTCTCTTTAATTGTCTTCGTTAATTTTATAAATATAAAAGAAAAATTAATAACAAAAAATAGTTATACCTTCGAAATATGTCGTGATACTGTGTCATACATTTCTTCGGTTCATTAGGCACCACCAATGAATCCACTATAGGTCCAAAACGTGTTTTATAGTCTGGAGTAATGGCCCCTGCAGCCATAATTTCTTCCAGTCTTTTTTTCCTTAAACATTCAGCAAAGTCATCGTGTATTTGACAGTTGACCGCTTTCGAAACTTGATAGGCTACTTCGTTAGGACTGCTTGCTAAGGCCCAATCTGACAAAGCTGTACCGCTCATTAAGATAGCTCTATGGAACAATCCTGTAAATAGGTAAATTAAATATTATTAAAAAATAATGCACATTTATAATGCCTAATTTTAACAAACATAGGAAGAAATAAATAATATAGAAATAAATAAATTTAATTACACATTTTCCACCACAAAATAGTGTCCTCAGCTCTACAGCCTCATAGATGACTTTAATGCTAAAAATATGTGGGGATCCAACCGAACGTTTGTAAGAGACAAAATGTTTGTTGAATACTGCCTCTAACACACATTTTAATATATCATCAAATACATTCTCAGCAATAAACTAAAAATCACCTCTCTTCCTCTCATGACACACATACGATGATCTACACGACAGTAACCACTTTCTCAATCTAATTTCTAAAAGCTTCAACTAAAAGTCTTTCATCCGTTCTTATTGAAACCTAAGAATTGCTAACTGGTCCTCAAACTGGTGCTCAAAGAGTCCAATAGATTACAACAAAACAATAGACCTGAAAATCTTTAATAAGTGAGAAAAGTTAAAATGTTATGTATTAAAACAGAGCAAAAAACCTTTTGGCAAAATAACGTTTCGTCTATAACAAATAACACCACTAAAAAAAAAAAAAAATAAAAATTTTTAATTAAAATTATAAAATAATTTCAAATTATCAATTATTCGGCTTTCGATGTATCCAGTGCACTCAGAATATCCTCACTCTTCTTCAAAATCACATTTAAGTAGCAGTCAATAACCAGGAAGAAATGGTTACATATTTAATATTAAAAATTTCTTAGACACAATTCTTAGAAAAGCCATAATTAAAAAATTTTCCATTTAAAACCTCGTCATTAACATGCAGATTGAACGAAATAAATTCGGAACATAGGAAACATCATGTATTTCGGCTCATTTCTGCTGTAGGAGGTTGGTCAACAAAAGGTTGTCAAATAATTATATTATAAAAACCCAATACTTCTGCGGGCTGCTGGATTCTGAACTCATAAAAATTAAAAGCTACACATAAATCTACGATTTTATTATGCTGCCAAACCACTTATAGTCCAGGAAATGAAGCATTTCACCTCGTAATTTTTTCGTCCTGCGTGGATTAACTTGAAATTTTAACAGAAGGTAGGTAATAGCCTAAGAATCAAAATCTATATCGAACCAAAGTGCGCCAAAGCCTTGGGGGTGGTTGCCACCCCATCCCGGGGGTGAAAATTTTTTTTTACGTTTTAACTACAGGTTTTGATTAAAAAAGTGATTATAAACAAAAAATGTTCTATACATTTTTTTTTGTAAAACTGATATTTTTCAAGTTATGCGCGATTGAAAGTAACAACTTTTAGACGAAACATACGACGTTTTTAATCGATTTTTCGCGAATAACTCGAAAATGCTGCATTTTATCAAAAAATTATAGAGAACAAATTTGTTGCTTTTAAAAAGACAAATACAATTCATTTTTTAAAATCTTTTTGCGATATAATAGGAACCGAAATACGGCCTATCAATTTTCAGCGGTTTTCTTAAAATGCCAAATTTGAAAGATTTTAAGTCAAATATCAGGAAAATGATGCATTGTTGAAAGAAAACTCACGCAACCTTTTTTAAAAAGCATAAATAGATCTATTATAAAAAAAGACTCTAGCTCAAAAATTGAGTGAATTATGATGAAAATAAATTCAATACCTCATTTTTTTTACGAAAAAATCGATGAAAACAACTCCCTAACCACTCCCATAATTAAAATCGATCTTCACCCTTCTGCAATTCTCTTTGTACATGTATTGTTAATACGTCCAAGAAGTTTGACCCATTTAAAATGCTTAGTTTTAGAAAAAGTACAGCTTAAAGCGAGAAACGATTTACAATTTCATATTTTTTACCCTTCTTTTTTTAAATATCCCCGAAAATACTGAATATATGAAAGAAATAAAAATGTACTAAATTGTAGCTTTTTAATGACTAAAATTTTCCTTTATTTAGATTTGTTGTACAATTAATATTTGGCGAGATATAGCTGTTTAAAGCATCGATTTACGATCAAGCACCATCTTTTTCGAGCCCTTTAAACTCACCCCATTTAAAAACCAAGGGTTCCAAAGAGATTTAATTCACAGATTCTTGTAGCTCTTAAAAACCTCTACAAAATCGTTTTTGAGGAAACACTCTATCTTGATGACGAATAAAATTAATATTATAATTGTTTTACCTATAAATGTAAATATTTTTAACTATTTATGTAAACGTATAAGAATATATGGTGCTTTCTTATGTTGATAATTTTTTTTGTATTTAATTCTACTTTTTTCAATGTATATCTATTAAATTAGTTTATAAACTGCACCATTTACAACTGCAATGTTGTAAAGGGTGATTTTCAAAAGTTGAAAAGTTGGAAAATTTTGACAAAAAATTGTTTTTACCTATAGCACTCATAACAATTGATTTTTAAGGGTTGAAAATGTATGAAATTGTATTTTAAAGTATAAAAAAATCACTATTTAAATAATCCAAACCAAATTTCACTCATCTTAAGATTTGTAATGTTAATTTACAGTTTTTGAAAATTAGGGGTAGTTTTCACCCCTAAGAACAATCAGGGTTTATCGGCATGACATAAACTATAAAGCAGAGGGCGAGTTAAGCTTAATTCCAATTTTTTATGCAAATCGTTCCAAGGCGAAATCATTTTCTTCGCATTACTAATTTTTTTACATTAATCTCTAACAAGGGTCGCTTTTTAAGGGTTGAAATATGATGGAACTTTATTCAAAAGCACGAAACTATCATTATTTAATTAATTCAAACCAAATCTTACCCATATTCAGGTTTAATATGTTATTTTATAATTTTTGACAATTAGGGGTAGTTTTCACCCCTAAGAACAATCAGGGTTCGTCTACATGGCATAAACTATAAAGCAGAGGGTCAATTGAACTTAAATCCAAATTTTTATCCAAATCGATCCAAGGCGAAATCATTTTTTTAGAATTAGTAATTTTTTTACATTAATCTCTAACAAGGGTTGCTTTTTAAGGGTTGAAATATGATGGAGCTCTATTCAAAAGTATAAAATAATCATTATTTAACTAATTCAAACCAAATCTTACCCATATTCAGGTTTAATATGTTATTTTATAATTTTTGACAATTAGGGCTAGTTTTCACCCCTAAGAACAATCAGGGTTCGTCTACATGGCATAAACAATAAAGCAGCGGGTGAATTGAGCTTAAATCCAAATTTTTATCCAAATCGATCCAAGGCGAAATAATTTTTTTAGAATTAGTAATTTTTTTACATTAATCTCTAACAAGGGTTGCTTTTTAAGGGTTGAAATATGATGGACCTCTATTCAAAAGTATAAAATAATCATTATTTAACTAATTCAAACCAAATCTTATCCATATTCAGGTTTAATATGTTATTTTATCATTTTTGACAATTAGGGGTAGTTTTCACTCCTAAAACCATTCAGCGCACTTCGGTTCGATAAAGATTTTGATCCTTGGGCTATCACCTACCTTCTGTTAAAATTTTAACTCAATTCATGCAGGACGAAAAAATTGCGAGGTTTTAACTTTTTTCGAGCTTCATTTCCTGAACTATTAAAAACTTCCTTAGACAAGCAACATTGTTACACAAACAACATTGTTGCGAGACAGATAGTTGAACGATATTTTATACAATGTCTATACCCAGGTATGGATTTATTTTTGTCCAAGTTTTATATTGGTCCACTATTTCAAATGCAGTTCAACCAGACATATATTAAATTGTATGTTCCGTTTTAAATTCGTTCTATATATATATATATATATATAATATATATATATATATATATATATATATATATATATATATATACTATTTCATAAAAAAGTTTTTACTATCTATATCAGAGTCTCAGCAAACAGTAAACTCTCAATATCTTATCTTCAGATTGAAGAAGTGAGGGAATCTTTTATTTTTTTTTGCGTAGTGACTTTTAAATACGGGTTTTAAATACAGAGTTTGCAGGTTTTTTGTATTTATTTCCTCCCTCCTGAGATTTTCTATCAATCTCCAAGCCTCTTTAATCTTGCTTTCACTTAGACATGATTCCACTTTCTCGCATTTTCGTTCGCATGTTTGAGTTTTAGGTCTTCTAGCTACTCTTATAAAAATTATTTGTTGATTGCGATATTGGTTTTTATCGTCAATTTCTTATCTGTTTCTGTTCTTCGACTTGTACAGAACTATATCAGAACAGACTCTGTAGTCTGTTCTGATATAATTTTTGAATACTGTCATCGTAAAGGCTGTTTATTTAACTTTATTTCCCTCTCATTTGTTTGGTAGCTTTTGTTTGAGATTTGATTTTTATGTTTATAGAAAATTTAAGATTGAGATTTCAGAAAGTAATGATCCGATTTACATTCTATACCCTAATATACTACAGCTTGAACGGGGGCATGAATTTTTTTTAAGGGTGTCTGTAGAAGAATTTAAAAAAAATTAGGTCAAAATGGTGAGTTTAAAGGCACTTTTCACAAACTTTTGAATGCCATAAATACATTTAAAACTTATTGTTATTAAAGTATTTTTATTTGTATAGCAACGAAAAATCTTAAAATTTTAACCTAAAACTCCATGAAATCCAACAGGTGCAAATAAAGAAATGTAGTTTAGTTTATAAAATTTAAATAGTATAAATAAAAGGCGAATAATATTGGTATTTAAATACTCTGATAATAGTTACTTTATTTGTCTAGTACAAAAATTATTCTTGTCTACTAAACTTGATACAACAAATTCGAGTCGTCCCTGCTAAAAATATGGAGAAATTTTTCAGGCAGTATGATGCCCTTGCCTATTTTGTTTCTGTAATGTCAAATAACGATATTTTTTTGGTGATAGCCCTTTAGCAACGTCTTCCGTTATTATGCCTCGCAAGCCCTGTACGTTCCATATTGCAACATTCATTGTCCCATTTCGTTGCTGTGGTCATCGTCCATGAGTTCTGTATTCTGGGATTCGTTGCCATAAAATTGTTTTCAATCAATGGAGGCTGGCCCAATGTCTTAACCCCGACCTGGAGGTCAGGGTAATTTTTCTAAGGTGTTCTTCCCATAAACCAATTGTCTTTCAGGACTTGAGAGATTAGTTTTTTCTTAGACAAATAACCCTCACAGAGTGCTATTAAATGAGCCAGCTGAAGTCTTGTCTTCTTTAGAGGTTAATCTATTCCTAGGTCTTCTTCTTCTTCTTCAAGTTCCACTCCTATCGGAGATTGGAAATCATTCTGGCAATTATAATTTTATTGGTTACTCGCCTGAATAGTTCAATTGAACTGCATCCAAACCACTCACGGAGATTGCGTAGCCACGAGATTTTACGTCTTCCTACGCTTCTTCTACCTTTGATTTTACCTGCATTATATTCCTTAGTAGTTCGTACTTTTCACCTCTGATGATGTGCCAAGTATTCCAATTTCCTGATCTTTATGGAATTTAAAACTTCGCATTGTTTTCCTAGTTGTTCGAGAACTTGTTCGTTTGTTTTGCGATCCATCCATGATATTTTCAAAATGCGTCGGTAACACCACATTTCGAATGCTTCTAGGTTTTTAATGTTGGTTTTTTAAGTGTCCAAGCTTCAACTCCATATAAAAGGGTAGAGAAAATATAACATCGAAGCATTCTTATCCGGAGCGATATATTGATATCGCGATTACAAAAAAGTTTTCTCATTCTATTAAAAGTTGACCGCGCAATTTCAATGCGGCATCTTATTTCTTTTGTCTGATCAGTATCTTCTGTGATTCATGCTCCAAGGTATTTGTACGAAGATATTTGTTCAATTTCTGTATTGTCTAGTACTAGCTTAACTTTGATGTTTTGTGCTTTTGTAAATACCATGAACTTGGTTTTCTTCAAATTGAATTTTAGTCCATAATCGTTGCAATATATATTTAGTTGTTCAGCAAGGTGTTCAGCAAGGTCTATCCTCCTCTTTTTTCTGGTCTTCGGAACGGCTGAACACAGTTTACCCCACAACTAATAACTAGCACAGGCAGAGTATGTCTATAAAATACATAAAGTTAAAAATGGTCCCGTTTGCAAAATAACTGGGAAATATGTTCTGTATTATATAATTTCCTTATAACTTTTTTCATCTCTGTTCATAATAAAGATATCGAAATTAGCATTCATTAGGATAAGTTATCTATTACTTTTATACCTAAGGAGCATTATATTTGATTTAATATAGTAATACATTTTTTACATACCTAATTAATTTATATATTTATACTTACTTTCATTTTCGATTAATATCATAGGACTGATCATTAAAAGACTTGCACAGACAGCCCCAGTACCATGACCAATCAAAGTAACAGAATTGCTGTCACCGCCGAAGGCTGCAATATTATCTCTAATCCAAACTAATGCAGCAACTTGATCCACCAGTCCGAAATTACTTCTAGATGTGTCTTCTACGCCAGCTTTCAAGAATCCTAAAAAGTAAACAAGAAATAAAATCTGACATTGATTTAATAAAAAATTTTTGTAAAATCTAGGTGGATGGAAAAATGCCATAGGAGTGGATTATAGGTGTAATATACTCACTGCATAAAAACGAAAAACAAATAGAATGTGATGACTACAGGGAAACCTATCTCCAAGACATTGGCAAATATTATCAATAAAACCTTAACTATTAAGCAAATTTTAGGCCTGACAGCTTGACCATTAATTAGGTCTTTACACTTTATGCTAAATTCTTAAAAAATCCAAAAACTTATTGCTGATTTATCCCTCCTGTCTATCGACTTTAAAGCAAGTCACAGTACCGTTAAACCGAGTTGGTATAAAAATACGAATAAATTACAGATAAAAAAATATGCATTTAAAATGTCAATTGCAGTAAAAATTCAGAGCGATACGACAACTCCGATTGAACCACACAGGACCTTAAAATATGACGACGTGCTGGAACAACATTGAAAAAGTTAATTAAGAAGTCAATTTAGACAGCACAAGAACTATACTTAATTGATTAGTTTAGAATTTACCATGAGCTGATGACGTGGATGTAGTAACAAGAATCAGAGTAAAAACTGCAGAAACAGAATTAACTGCGTCAGCATAAAAATCAGAGTACATTTAAATCGAAGTAACAAACTTACAAACAAACAAACTAAGATAACAAACCTTAATCTCAAAAAAAGTAGATCAAGACTGTACCTTGACATGGGAAGCCTCTTTATCTTTATATGAAAGAAAGATACTAGTACTCACAATCTTTGAAGCGGTTTGTGAAAACGGAAAATAAAGATGCAAGTACAATTTAAAAACTTTACCCTTTCTTAGAAGCTTTTCCAAATTGGAGAAGCCAAGCACAGAAAAAAAAAGAGTATGGTTAAGATGCTAAAGAAGGTCAAAGACTTGCGAAGACTAGAACAACCATAATGTTGTTATTTTAATATTCTTCTTCTTCGCGTGCCATATCAGAATTATATGACGTTGGCGATCACCATTGCGGAGGCTTCTCGATCTTCTGCAATATGGAATAATTGTCCCGCATTTGATATCCGACTTCATTCACGAATGTTCCTCAATCAAGAAACTCGTTTCTTTCCTACACTTCTACGGCCCTCTGTTTTGCCTTTAATGATTAGTTGTAATATTTTATATCGACTTCAATTTACTGTATGTCCCAGATAATACATTTTTCGATGTTTAACATTCTTTAGCAGTTCTAAATCTTTGTTGATGCTCCTTAGTACTTTTTCATGAGTTTTTTTTTTGCTACCTAAGGTATCTTCAGCATTCGTTTATGAACCCACATTTCCAATGCTTCAATTTTGTTCATGACCCATACTTTTAGCGTTCACACTTCTGCACCATACAAAAGTACGGACCAAACATAGCACTTAACCATTCTTTGTCTTAGCTCTAAACTGAGATGAATATTGAAAAAAAGACTTTATTTTCATAGAAGTAGTTTTAGTCATTGCTATACTACGTTTTATTTCTATGTCTGGATCTAGTTAGTCCATTATCACAGTTCCCAAATATATCATTTTGTAAACTTTCTCAACTTGGACTCCGTTTAATTGAAGCTTTTGCATCGGGATGTGGGTCACTACTAAACACAAAAAAATTTTTTTTGTTTGAGTTTATTTTAATGCCCATTTCCTCTACTACCTCGTGAATTTGATTAAGCAGAATTTGGAGACCTTCAATATTATCTGACAGAATTACTTTATCGTCTGCATATCTAATCACATTAAGTAGTTCCCCGTTGATTTTTATTCTATATGGATGTCCGTCAAATGCTTTTTTAAATAACTGGTCCGAGTAAACATTGAACAATGTTGGTGATAAAATTTAACCTTGTCTCACTCCTCGTTATATGGAGATTTCATTGGTGTAGCTATATCCAATTTTTACGTTATCAGTTTGACTCCAGTACAAATTTTTAATGACACGAATATCCTTGTCATCTATTCCGATATTTTTCAGTATTTGCATTAATTTTACGTGCTGTACTTTATCGAAGGCTTTTTCGAAGTCCGCAAAACATGCAAATATATCTTTTCTTTGGTCACGACATTTTTGTAATGGGATGTTAAGCGCAAAAAGTGTCCCATAGCATTTCTTAAACACAATTGAGTATCTTCAAGATCTTATTCGCATTTGCGTCTAAATTTGTCGTGAAGTATTCTTAGGAAAATTTTAAGAGTGTGACTCATTGAGCTAATTAATCGATATTCTGATGCTCATACTGTAACAAAACTTCGAGTAATGTCCACTGTTTCCGAAGAAAGAGTTGAAGGTTCTAGAACTAAAACTCAGTTTCTGCCAACAAATCCTACTCTTACGTCCAGTAAGGCTTTTGCCGCTTAGCCACTGGATGCATGGCGACCATGATTGAGCGGTATGCAGCAGATGAGAGGAGGCAAAAGGCAAGCTTCTGGCGCCTAAAAACTGGAACATATCGGCTAAGGTAATAAACGCTGACAGAAAATTCTGGTGTTCCAGGCTGGGAGTTGGGAAATATGCCGGTAACCTGTTACTGTAACTAGTACAAAACCAAAAAACCTTCAAATAAGCCTAGGATAGATCGGTCTTATCGACGACGACTTAATCAAAGAAATATGGACTGCGTACTCGGTACCTGGAATGTCCTGTAATTGAATAAACCAGAAGCATAGGCATCACTACTTAACGAGCTCAGAAAAATATAAAATAGAACTAGCAGCAATACAAGAATTTAAATATCTACGGCACGGAATAAAAGAATCAAAAACGCATACAATACCATACTGCGGAAAAAAAGAATTTGGAGTAGCCTTTAAAGTTGACAATAAGATGGAACGTACCATATTAGATGTTGAAACAGTGAATGATAGAATATGTAAACTAAGACTAAAAACAAAATTTTTTAACCTCTCAAATATTAACATACATTGCCCAACAAAAGAATATAGCATGAAAATAAAAGAATATTTTTACAAACAGCTAGAGGAAGTATACGATAGCTTATCGAGAAAAGACATTATGATCGTAATAGGAGATATGGATGCTCAAATAGACAAAGAAGAACTTTTTTTAGAAACCATTGGTAAACATTTACTCCACCAAAACAAATAAATTTATCATGTATTGATAGACAAAAGGGCTGAACCATAGAGGAGCATACTGCGGATCTGACTATCTGCTAATACAGTAAAATACAGATGCAGAATTCAAAGAAATGGGAGGGACAGAGACCAAATTGAGACAACAAGATATCAAACAGAACTATGAGATGGAAATAATACAAACACTGACAAATACAGGCAGTCTAGGAACCGAAGAACATTGTGAAGAAATTAAAACAAAAGTAATTGACAAGAATCATAGACAAAAAAAAAGAAACAAACAAAAAGATAATGGTTCAATGACGAGTATAAAAAGGCCATACAAAAAGAAATGAATAACACAAGAAACATATGAAACGAAGAACTAGAGAAAGCAGAGCAAAATACGAAGATGCAAGATGGACGGCCGATAAAATAGGCCAAACAAAAAAAAAGAAAATACGAGAACGGTAATAACAAGAAAATGGAAGAAAATCTGTAAAACAACGATATAATGGATGCGTATAGATATCTACGCGTATAGAAATCAAGAAGCGCAAATAACCAATGATCCAAAAGAAATAATATCAGTCTGGAAAACCTATTCCCAAATTCTTCTAGGGACACAAGAAAATAAGGAGCAAATTGACATGCATCACATTGAGGGGGTCACCGGAAACATAGAAGTCCCGATGATAGAAGAAGTAAACCAAGCAATACGAGCACAGAAGAATAACAAGGCTCCAGATATTCCCAATGCCCCTCTAAACTATATAAATTAGGTGGCGAACACCTAGTAAGACAAATGCATCTGCTTATGAACAAGATTTGAAAGGTGGAAAAGATCCCTAGCGACTGGAAAACCAGGATTATATGCCCAATCTATAAAAAAGAGATAAACTCAAATGCGAAAATTATCGTGGTATAACCCTCTTGTGCACAGCGTACAAAGTTTTTATTTATACACTAAATAAACGACTCTACTGCTAAACAACTAAGTGTACACCTACATTGGAACCGTATTTCTCCCGATCCGATATCGGGCAACGTCGGCCGACGTCGGATTGAAAACAAACTCAAGGTATTAAATCATAGTGCCTATACTGCTTAGTCATGGAAGCAGTATAGGCACTATGATTTAATACCTTGAGTTTGTTTTCAATCCGACGTCGGCCGACGTTGCCCGATATCGGATCGGGAGAAATACGGTTCCAATGTAGGTGTGCACTAACTAAAAATATTGTCGCGGAATGTCAAACCGGTTTCCGACAAGGAAGATCTACAACTGACCAGTTATTCACAGTGAAACAAATTCTAAACAAATCGTGGGAATACGACATTGACGTCCACAACATATTCATAGATTTCAAAATATTGCATAGCTTTAACATCTACCAAAAATACAGTAAAAGCAACAATGGACTCGTCAACAGCAACTGTCAGAATAAAAAAAATAAGTTCACTGAGAATTTTTCGATAGTCAAAGGATTAAAGTAAGGGGACGGGTTGGCACCGTCACTATTCAACCTGTCTCTCAAATATGGAATAAGACAGTTGCAGAAACCACTTATACATAAGATAAGTGCCGGGTAAATTTATCAAAAATTATCCTGTAAAGGATGATAGAGAAAACTTTATCAGTGGAAACCCTTCCACTGCGGGACAAATTTAAAGGTAAGTGGCTAAAAATAACTAATAAAATCAAACTTTCTGAAAAACGTTGTAAATGATGTTGATGGCTTGCAAAACTTTTACAAAGTGTTTTTGTGGACAATTAAAACGATTTTGTCATCATAATATTACTACTATTTTACTACTATATAATATTACTACAGTTACCACTTCGTGACATACTCAGATAGGGCAGCACGACTACAATTCCAAGCCGA